ATCTGTAAAGTCTTTTGTGTTTGTCTTGTTATGAACCAGGGACTTTTAAATCCTACACACACTGGCTTTAATATCAGTTGATCTCTTTCAACTAAATCTGAACATTGGAGCCTTCACAGGTGTAGGATGTATGAGCACTAATGTGACCTCCACTTGATATATATATGTAGAAGCTGAGGGGCTGAATGGACTGGTCATCATAATGAAGATGTATCTGACTGCACCTCTACATCCTGTACACTTCCTCCTACACTGTAGTTTCCATTCAGAGTTCACAAAGCCAGAGAGCGAAGCCCGTCACACTGATGTCACTGTGGACTGGATATCACAAATGAAAGATCAAGATGATCAGTTATAATAAGAAAAAAAAGAAAAAAAAATCCATCTCTGGCAATTAGATGTTCAGCGGCAAGTAAATGTAAAGTGCTCCCCCCCACACACACCCACCCACCCACAATAATCACAGAGGAGCTGTAACCTTCAAGGTGTGATTATCATAGGACACCAGCATTAACAGAAACACAGTGTAATTTCAAAGAAACCAATTTAATCTCACTTTTCAAAGCTTTATGTCACTTAGTTTTGACTGTGGAGCATGAAAATTAGTTACATTTACCTCTTTTCAATGTAAAGACAGAGAGAATTCATACAGCAATAATAAAAGGTTGGGCTGCTAAAATATAATACAGCTCAGAAACCCTGAATCATATTGTTTTGAAACGACGAGGTACTAACTGCTCTGTGTGAAGGAGGGCTGCAGAAATGAGGTCTGACTGAGCCAGGACCAGCTGCCAAACACAGCTCTGCCAGCAACAAAATGAAACATGGCCTCACCTCCGGTCCACGGACTACAAGACCACCTGGGTCAACAGACCACGAGCACGACCCTGAAACACCATGCGAGAAATCATCATCAACAAGGGCGAACAAACTCAGCTGCTCGCCCAAATGTTGGCTATAAATACCACAAGATCCTTAGCATTCTGCACCGCGGCGAACCGAGGGTGTCAAGAATCAATAATTTATGCGAAGCAAGAGAAAGTTGTCAGATCCAACAATGCCTACAGACAGAGCTGGAGCGAACGGCTTGTTTACAGAGCCATTTCAGAGAAGGATGCCATTGATTAATCAGCATTTGACAGCCATGTTGAGGAGGAGAGAAAAAATTCTGTTGAACAGGGAAAAATCACTTTAGGACTGAAACAAGTGTATTTTTATAACAGCAGCAGTCGGAGAGACACAGTGAGTGTATTTGTGAATTTTGCAGCAGCACCAGAGTCGTGATGAATCGCAGGGCGACTGCCAACAGCGGTGGCACGGCTTCACACGGCGTTTTTCTATCTCACTTCTTTATGCACAATCCTGGATGGCCATCAGATGGATATCTACGTATGTTGTGCTCAACAAGCAGCCAAGGCACTAATGACTGCTGCTTTTCAACCCCCCTTTACAGTGTGTGTGTGTGCGTGTGTGTGTGTGTGTGTGTGTGTGTGTGTGTGTGTGTGTGTGTACGGGACATTTACTGCAAACTGAAAGCTGCATTAATTGGTTTTTTTCCAGCCACTTGGGATAAGTGGAACAAGAACTTCTGACTTGCCGGTGAACTTATTGGCAAAAACGTTGCTAATTTACACATTCAGCCGATAATCAAGCGACGTCACACGGAGCGGAGTTTCTGGGTATTGACTTCAACTAATATTCAAATGTGTACATTTCAAGTGTCGTAAACTATTTACAGCAGTTTCTGGTACCATGTTCATCAGTTTATGATTTGAGGCGTTTATGTGTAAGACTCCTTCAGACTGGAATAACATCATCCCACATGTTTAAATTGAGTGTGTCAGGTGATTTGATTTGATTTCTCTATACAAAACAAATTTAATAAATAGAATAAATTAATACATTTCATGTATACACATTATATTAGTTTTGCACACGTGTTCACGGCCTCTCTATGGCCATCTAGTGGTTGTGTTCACCATCGTACGTGTTTGTGTAAACTTGAAGCTAACAGAGGCTAAAAAAGCTAATTTCCATTTAAAGCATTAAATTATATTTGTATTAAAAAATAAAAAATACCTGCAGCTATAATCAGGGATGAGCAGCAGCTGGTAGTGACCAGTGTTGGCTCGTGTTTGCAGATGTCATTTCTATTCCACTTGCTGCCGTTCGTCTCCTGCTGACGACGTGAATTCAAAGTGCTGTCATGCTCTAAATGCCACCTGTGGCCACATCGCTGCTTCTGCACACTCCTGCTTTAAATTACAGCTTTTTTAAATTTCCAATGTTTTTCTGTCTCATACTAAAGTTAATTGCTCCTTTTGGGAAAATGCAGTTGAACTTTAACCATCGACCTTATGAAATATGACATGAGAATCTACTAATGTGCCGAGGGAGTAGTCGCAGGAATATCGTGGAAATTCAAAGAGAGGAAATATATTTTCTTTTTATATGAATGCAGCCTGTTTGGCGGACCTGACGTTTTGGGAGTTACAGGTTGATGAAAGACTCTGTACGTGAAGAGAGGTATATCCAGGTAAGCACCACCGTCCTCTAATGTCTTCCCCTAAGAGCTGCCCAGTATGACCACAGGCATCTCTTGTTAGCCACTGGGAGCTGCCCACTCGCACACTTCCACCGCCTTTGCTGCTTAATCAAAATGAGGGTCGATTTGTGGAGTTCATGGGTGCAGCACTCCCACAGCTCCCAGCCCCTGTTGGTTCAATTTAAAATGAGTCGACAATACAGACTGTGGCTCATTTTGGCCCAGAGAGCTCACAGTGAAACAGAGCTGATCTGTCTCCTCCTCCGCTCTGTGACTCCATGTTACTGTGTGTGTGTGTGCGTGTGCGTGTGTGTGTGTGAGTGTGTGTGTGTGTCCCTGGCCTCATACTGAGCGAGAGTAGCATCTATCACAACTCCCCGTCTCTACTGGCACTTCCACTCAGGCTGAGGGATGAAGGTAACGCCCTGTAGCTTAGCTCAGCCAGGACGAACGAACACACACACACATATACACACACACACATACATACACACACACACACACACACACACACGGCTGCACAACACACACAGAAACACACACTGCTGGTGTGTGTTACATATGCTTGATGTTGGTATTTTTACTAAGAATAGGATATGAGTTAGTCATCCTTGCCCAGCTCTGATATGATGGATGGATGATTATGCTGCAGTTAAATTTATTGTAGAATTGATCAGCTGCCTGTGGGAAGCCTCTCACATGCTAATGATGCTAATGTGACATTCAATCTGATTTGATGCAAATAGAAATGATTATCATCAATATTACTTCTTTTCCTCTGGGTTTCTGTGGTGATTCACATTTTCCATGACTGACACACGGGCTTTTTGTTTGTCTTTCACCAAGAATAACGATTTCAACAGACACACACCCACACACTTCCATTTTCCCTTTTGCCAAGCCAGCTGCATACATATTCAGTAAAACTGTGGAGTGTTTTCATGGACCCAGTCTTCGGGATCTCATACTGATTTAGTGAAAACTAGAATGACCTCCCCGTGGTGGTGTGACTACATCCCTGTTTACCCAGAGTCAAATGAAATATGAACCATCTGTGTGAAATTTTGTCATAATTTCTGTGTGAGTAATGGCCAAAAGGTGTTTTGTGACCTTTGACCTTTGACCACCACAATCTAATCGTGGTCAAAGGTCAAAGTCGGTCCTTCAGTCCTTGAGAACGTTTTTACCAGATGAAGAAATTCCCTCAAGGCGCTACGGAGAGATTGTGTTTACAAAGCCAAAAGGGCGTTTTGTGAGGTCACCGTCACTTTGACCTTTGACCTTTGACCTTTTGACCACCAAAGTCTAATCAGTTCAACCTTGAGTCGTAGCGAATGTTTTTGCCAAATTTGAAGAAGTTCCTTCAAGGCGTTACTGAGATAATGAGACAGAAAACCTGAAAACATGTTGTTGTTTTTTTCCTGAGCTTCTTTTACAGGCTGGTCTCCAATCTGTGTTGACAAACCAGACACAGCGTCTATGATGTGTGTGTAAAGAGCAGGGGAGGGGCACTGCTGCGGAGTCTTCCTGCTCCTGTCATCCCGCCAGAATCCGTCCAGGTTCGGCTGAGATCCGGATAAACATTCGCTTGTTGCTGTCTTCGCTCAGGTGAGAGAAGAAAAGAAAAATGCTTCATTACTGGGTCAAGGCCCCGAAAGTCCTTCTCTGTGTGTGTGTGTGTGTGTGTCTGTGTGTGTGTGTGTGTGTGTGTGTGTGTGTGTGTGTGCAGACCACACAGCATGCATGTTGTATTTTTCTTTCTGCCACTGATCTGCACTGTAGTTTGCACACTGTACTTTTTCTGTCACATTTACACCTAAACAAGAGACATTTGTTGACACTTGTTTCTCGATGTAGCAGGCGGCTATTTTCAGCAAAAACAAAGAGTTTGATAAACCCACTGTACGCCGCACGCCCAGTTTAAAACTGGCAGACACACACAGAGTCGGCGTCAAGCTGGAGAAGAACGTCGTACAGTTTGCAGCTAAATATTATTCTAAGGAGGTTGTAGACCCAGAACAAATGAGATTGAATACTGGATTTATCAAGTTGACAGAAACACAAGATGTGCAAATAAACAACTGTTAGTCAGCCATAAAGACTCTATAGGGTGATAATGTGTTGTGGTTGCTGCTTGTTCTTGCTGCTCCCAAGTGGCCAGAAAGAGAAAGAATCCATTACTGCAGCTTTGAATGACAGATGACGAACAGGTGACTGAATATCTATAGATCACAGTGACACACAGGTGAGACGGAGCTGAGCCAGGAGCCTGTGTGAACCTGCTCACCGCAGGCTTTCATCAGAGGTGCGACGACAGAAGTCGTCTGAACCTGTACGGACGCTTGGACGGAGCTTCAGACGGAAGCTGTTCGTCACAGTGCACTAGCTTGTCTCTGGTCTGAGGGTTTAGGGTTTAGTGGGATTGTACGGTGGAGTAGGTGACATGGCGTCTTACCCCGGGGCCTTGAGGAGAATCTGGAGGAGAAGCTGCAGGAATCTGTCTCTGACCTGAAAAACACAAACAAGACGGAAGAAGATGAAGAGATAAACACGATCGGTGTGTCCACTCTGTAACTTCCCGCCTCTCAATCAAAACAATAACAAAAGACGGCGTTGGGTGACGTCACGAGATAGCGCGGGATCATGGGAGTTGTTGTCTTGTTGTTGTTTGGTTTCCTTCAGCGTCAGCGCTTCAGGAAATCAAACAGACCCGGTGATTATAACTGAATGAAGCAGTTTGACATTTAAAGTCAGAGTTTGAGCGACGCTGTACGGAGGACAGAGACTGAGGGAAGATTGATGCTAACCTTCGTTCTGACTGTTTCTCTGAACCAGACGTTCAGCAGGTTTTTACCAGCAGCTGAATGATGCGTCTTCCTCTCCACAACAAACACACCAGGAGATTAAAACCAGTGGAAACACTGAACAAAACAGTTTCACTTACGACTAAAATCATCTGGTTCAAATAACCAGCTGCAAACCACCGAGGTGTAAAAAATGTCTGTGGCTTAAAGCTGGATAAAAGTCAGTGTTGAGCTTCTGTCAGACAAACACAAACACACTGACACGTGATCGTAGAGGATATGATGTCACTGACCAGTGACCAATGAAACGTCACCATGATTAAAATCACAGATTTCTCTGGTTCGAGAACTGATGGAAACATTTGTGACGATGTCAGAACACAAGTCAACAACATACAGAACACAGGCCGAGTTGTGTTTAGACGTTTTAATGTGGAGAAGTTACAGATTATAACTTTAAAAGCAAGTATCAAATTTGCCAAAAGGTTTAAAATATTTCACGACAGTATCTTCCAGCACAGTTCGTTTCAAGAATAAAATCGACTTAAATCCTGAATTAGAGAGTGAATGATGCAGTTTAAACATCATAGTCTGTATTTAGGTTCTTCAGAAGAAAAGCACCGACTCCTGATCAGAAGATGTGCACATAAAACACAAGTCTAGTCATTTTTAGATTTACAGATTAAAACTTTATGTGTCGAAGTAACTGCAGTTCGATGTTTAACCGGCTCAGTTAACAACATCATAATATCTTCGACGCTCTGCACACCTAGCTAGACATGTGATGGGAGCTGATAGTAAAATGTCATCTTTTCTTATTGCCTTGCTGTTGATTGGATTTGGAGTCAGGTGTCACGCTGAGGTGTAAAGAACGAGCCGTCACTGTGCGCCCTGAATGACTCCAGCAGAGTAAATAAGTCCACTGAACGCCGGGATACCACGACTGTTTAGAATCGGTACAAAAATCTATCCAATTTCACAGAGATCAGGAGGCGGCGCTGGATTTAGATGTCACACTGAGTTTTTAAGTCTAACAATGCTGCCTGAGTTTTTTGGTTGGTAGCCATGGTAATACTGAAATGAAAGGCTTTCCAGTATCTCTTTGTCCTCCTCTCCCACTCCTCCTCGCTCCCTGTGCTGGGCTTGACTGGCCTTTTGGAAATTGCTTCAGTTGCCTGGGGTGTCTCACTGTAGCTCCCATCTGTTCCCACTACACGAACGCAGAGTGGACACGGCGCGGGACTGCCTGGCTCTGTGTCACAAATGTACCCCCCCCCCCCCAACCTCCACCCACCCCACCGCCCCACCCCTCCTGACAAGCGCATTTGGTTTTTTGGGGCTTTCTATTTGCACGTCTTGCAACGATGGAAACGTGTGTTTCACCTCATTAGCTGGATGGACGTGCAACTGGGGGGGGCATTTAAATATGCAAAGATGATGCATCATCAAAATGTATTAATGAGCATCTGTGTCAAAACATCATATTTTCCTCCTCTCGGCTCGTCAGTGGAAACAGAGCGTGATGTGCGATGGTCACGTGAACAACGAGGGATCCTGTCACTAAATTATAGACGAGAGGAATGAAAACGCGTGGACTTGAGTTTCCGCTCGTCTGACTGGAGGTCGTCTCGATGTCCATCATGAATAACTCAGAGGTTTGTCCTGAGAATGTGTGTCTGCCTTCTTTCTAACAAAACGAATGATTCAGTGGTTGTGAAAACGCAGCGGGAGATTTCCCAGTTAATAAACCTACAAAAATGCATCAAAAAACATGATTTACATATTTCAGACCGGCCATGAATTTCATATTTGTCGAACTAAACTATCTGCAATTGAAAGCAGGACACTTACAGGCATATCCACGCGCCCACACACACACACACACACACACGCACACGCACACACTCAATCCTGGAAACACAAAGTCAAGCATGATTATGATGCTGAAATCAAAGAATGACAGAGATTCATGATATCATTCTCCTCTGAACACTAGCCCAAATCATTCAGGCTTCTTGGGCGATCCTCTGAGGACACTTGAGCACTGATTAAAATGTCATTAATAGACTTTGCCAAAAGGCTTCTCTACACACCCGTGAAGTAGGCCCTGATCAACACTATTCTTCTCTCCCAAGATAAGTTAACAGCATCATTAGGAGGGAAATCATCGAGTATACGACCAGGGTCCACTCAAGTTCTCTCTGCTGTCACTGGGATTGAGTGGCTGTGTGCGGTGTTTACTACACTTCTAATCAATTCACTCAAAGACACGGGGAAAATCAGCAGCCTGGGTTTACAATAAGAGATGCAGACGGTGGCACATCATTTATCTTCGGCTGTGTGCGGGATGTGGAATATCTAATCAGAACTTTGTTTCAGAGGGACGCCTCTTTAAAGCTCAGGGTTCAGGACGGGAGTTATTTTTTTTCTCGGGATGTGGAGGAGCGGTCACGCTTAATTGGGAACGATGGAGTAAAAAAGCTTTGGGGGAAAGAAATTCAGCAGCTTAAACTGATAACCCCCTTTAAAAATACGTGGTCGTACGCCTCCGCCAACCAGTCAAGCTGCAGTTTACACCCGTGTCTGTCCAGACTCATGTAACACATGGAGGAAAACTTAATAAAAAGTGTAGCTTCTATATTTGTCTGACGGATCTGACGGAGAACAAAGTTGTAGCCGATGTTTCAAATACGGACTCTGGATGCTTCACACACATCTTCCTCCCAGCAGCACAGGAGAATCTAAACAGTCACCACAGTGTGAAGGCGGGGTACTCGAGATTAGTGCCGACCGATTCAGTATCCGACCAGGTGTGAGAAACACAATCTCCCCTCTCTGTTCCTGAGTCATGGCGTTTGTGTGAAATTCAGTCACAGTTAGCGAATGAATTCTTGACATATATGGCTGGCTAGCTGGAGCGCAGTGACCCCTGGTGGTCAGCGGAGGAAGTCCCAGAGGTCAGATTATTGCTGGTATTATTAGATGCGCTTACTAGCGTTTTCAAATGGAGCTTGCTCAGACGTCATCACGTCACATGACCTCAGCACAGTTGGTTGTTTATGGGGGTCATCCTCGTATCGGACGATCTAATCCGTCTTTAACTCGGGTGATTGGAACGTTTTATCACAGATAATGTCTGTTCCCAAAGTCGAGAATCGATCTCTCCGCTCAAAATGTAAAAATACAGCATTCGTTCTGACTATATTTATTACATCAGAACCTTTTGCCAAGAGGCAGAAACAGAACAAAGAACTGCACATACAGTAAGAAATGAGCGATGGATTAAAACCACCAACTTAAAGGCTATTTTTGGTTCACTACAACTTGGCTCTCATTAGGTTTGGCCATCATTTCAATTGCTAATAATAACATTGTATTCAGCAGATGAATTACTGAGGTTGTGAGACACTGCATCTCCCACCAGCAAGACTTTAAAAGCCTCATGTTAACTCAAGCTTGTAAAACGTCTGTGACAGTTTACCGTTTGGACTTCACTTTGACAGAGATACTGAATAATATCTGAGACTAATACGACCTAAAAATAAAGTATTAGTATTTACCTCTAAAAGCACATTTTAGTCAGAATCCACAGGATGTAAATTCTGGTTGTGAGTTATTTTCTCTTTTAGAAGAGACGTTAGCACGAGGCTGCAGAGGAAGGCTTGTTCTACATCAAGAGACCCTAATGGACAGCCAAAATCTTCTCCCAGCACTTTGAGTTTATCCCTTTATTCCCCTCAGACCCATCATGGAGTGTGCTAATCATGCAGAGAGCAGGTGGTGCCATTGAGATAACACTGCAGAGGTGGGGGCTGCATTATATGCAGAGGACAGGCTAGTTGCTCAGAACTTCGGCTGATTACACCTGGGTGTTGCCGCACACTTGAGATACACTTATAAAACAATTAGCGGGAACAGACCACACACACTTTCTGGTCCAACATACAAACCTTTGTGGTAGACAAACAGAATTTGAGTCCTTTTTTTAAAGCTGGTAAGACTCGGAGGAAAACTCTTCATATTAGGCTCATATTTACCCTGTGAGGGCGATGAAGGCGATCTCCTCTGCCGTGACGCGTTTTCCTGCTTCGTCCTGAGAGATGCCTTTGGGCTGGACGCCTTCCCCTCCAGACCGGATGACAGCCGAAACGTTATCGTATCTTTCACCTTGGAGACAGGTTTTCAGACGTTTCAGGGAGACACAAAAACAGTGGGAGAATGAGAGGTTAAGGTTCTGGACGGAGGGACGCAGTTGGATTGGATGAGACACAGTAGCAGACACAAGCAGGAGACGTGACGGTGACGTGTGGTTATTTTTCAAACTGTCTGAGTGGTTTGCAACCTTTACATTTTTTGATACTGTCTCTAAAGTGATGCGACTTGGAGACAATGGATGTAAACTGCAGTGAAGTGTTCCAGGGCAGAGCTTCAGAGGAAAGAGTAATCAGGTTCTGTATGACGCACTTGGATTAAAGCACCACATCATGCCAAAAAACAATAGCGATAAAGATTTCTGTCTTCAGGGAAACATGTGCTGAAAGCGCCTTGTCTCAACACCTCCCAGCGTATTCTTTACATCTTGCTGCTCTGTGCTCTTGCGTTACCTGAGCTGTGCCTGGAGCTGAGAGCGGCGCTGAGCTCTGAGTCTTGGCAGACGTCTCTGTGCCGTAGACCATGACTCCATGAGGGTTTGGCTTTGCACCTCCTTGCAGAACGAGCTGCAGCTCTTCCCCCTTCCAGTCAGCCGGCTCCCGGAACGGGCACCAAATCCCCCAACGGAGGCACTGCAAGAAGGCTGCTCTGGACGAGGAGGTGACTGACAGCTGCGAGATGGAAAGGACACAAGGACAGAGGACATGATGAATATTGATTTCATACATGGAAACTACCGTTTTATGTTTATCCATTGAGAATAATCTTTGTGGAAGCAACATTAAAGTCATGTTTTCTTCCACAATGTTGCTCAAATATTTACCACTGGCTTCCCTGATTTTATTCACCCTGTCACAGCAACTCATTTTTTATTACAATGAGCACATATGGACAGAAGAACGCTTCCTTTAATGAGCATTTTTCACCCAAAGCAAATTTACATCCAATGATAAGACAAGACAATAAGACAATAAGAATATGCAACTAAAATGGCAGAAAAACAGGCAATAAAACAAACAAATGGATGTGCCACTGGAATAATTACAGACTTTTGCAGTGTTTAATTAATCATAAACATTTAATAATAAACCGATGAATTTAATATGGGCCGACTAGAAAATTGGTTTTGCATTAATAAACTCAAAGTGAAAAACAATTTAAACCATCATTTGGTTCATAAAATGAATTGTAAAACGATGTCAGACTGCAGCTCACACTGACTCTGTGCGTCCGCAGGTTTGAAGCTGACTTGTGAAATCTCTTTGGAACGTGATGAAAATATGGATCACCAGGGGAAAAGTGGATCATTTCTGCAACTGCAAAATTCTCCTTTCAAACCTACAGAGAGTGAGTGTTTTATTTTGGAAAAAGAGATAGAGCAGATTCAGTGGCTACGCTTCTCCTTTAAGTTATTTTTTATTTTTCCATACTGTTCCCTTCATATGGAAACACAGCTGGTGCCACGCAGCAACAGGGAAGCTGCTGCCGACAGCTGCTCACAGCAACAGTTAGCAGCCTGATGAAGAGCTACCAGCAGACAGGAGATCAGCAGTTGGTCCGACTCTGCACAGTTCAGGTTAAACATGGAAACAACATATTGATAAAATATCCAAGTCAGTAGCAATTCTGTATAAATCTGGGGAAATAAGCCTTGTACATAATTTACTGTTCAATTACACTTCCTGTTCTAACTTATTGTACGGGAAGTGTCGACCTTTAAAATGAGTATAATGCTACAGTCTTTGTTAATAAGGCTGGTGACTATGATCACACTGATCAATCGTTTCTACATTCTCATGCCGTATCATTTAATGATTCTGTATGTTATTATAAAATACAAAGTACAAAAGGGTTTTTGATCTGAGAGCTGTTTGTAAGTTCACTGTACAAAAGCTTTAAAAAGGGATTAAAGGCAGATGTATTTCTATTGTTGGGGCTCAATTATGGAACAATGCTAATATAGATTTAATATAATAATATACATTTGTTCTTTTGGTTTTCAAAGAAGTGCTTTACAGAGATATTTATGAAGGTGTGAATAATTTCCTTTTCCTTATGCTGGGTGTCTTAAATTGATAAGAATGTAGGCAGGTCTGAGTCACGACTTAATACATAGAATACATTTTATTTTCTGTCTATATTGTTTAATATAACTGTATTATGTGTGATGACTGAAAAAAAAAAATGCAAGAAAATATATATTACCGACGTGCAAACTTAAATGATCAATTACAGGCACGCAATAAATTATTTGAATAATTTAAAAAGCAATCAGAAAATAAGTCACATTTATTGTGAAAGTGCTCTGCAGTTCTATACAGTCGAACCCTCAGAGACCCAAACACACAGTTCAGGAGGAACTTTGTTATGTCTGAAGGTGATTTACAATCTGTTCCACTGCGTCTCTACTTCAGCCGTCCCAGTTAAAAAGCCCTTTGCTTTAAATCATCCACGGGGGACCCGCAGGTTCTGCTGAATCGATTAATAAGCCGGTCAGCCTCCGACGATCGTAATCAATCACAGGTAGAACAGAGCAGAGAACACACTGAGCCCGAAGTCCACATCGCTTCAGGACAAAGTGGAGCCCGTTATGGTTCGCTCGATGCTTGCAGTTCCCCCGAGTACATTTCTTTTTACATGTAATACCATAATCCAGTACTACAGGTCATCATTCACACAGGTGTCGTCTGTATTCTGAATCTCGTGCGCTGTTATGGGAAACAGGAAGTGCCTGCAGTGGTATTGAAGTGGTACCACTGCAATTTTGATCATCAACCGTTCCGCACTGCTCTTAAAAGGAGATTGTCACGGCTGTAAAATAATAATAATACTGATAAACTGTGTCTGGTTCCTCAAATCCTGAGTCTGACTGAGGTTTGTATCCTCGCTGCAGGCGCCCAGCGGGACGCCAACGTCAGTACAACTCTGTTGAATGTAGGTTGTGACATCAGGCGACCAACACTCAATGTCAGGACGTCGTCTAATGTCTGGGAAACGTCTCCTAAACATCACAACCTCAGTTATCCAACGCTGGAGTTTGACGTCAACACGACTTTCATTTCTACCCAAAAACCGAAAAGAGTCCGACATCTTTCTGACATTAGTTGACGTCCGGCGCTGCTGGGCTGTGAGATCCAGTCTTGAGATGCAGTGCTGAACTTTATGGTCTGTCTCGGCCTGAGACGGCGGCAGCAGCAAAAAGAGTCGTCACTTAACTGAATAATGAACAAGAAGAGATTTCCAGTGAGCTCCACCAGGACTACAGCTGATGAAAATGACTTTTCTCTATTGATTAATTTGATCTTGTTGCCACAGATGGACAGCTTCATACTGATGTACTGTAGTTCACCGGGCAGCGCTGCAGCAGCCGTTCCCCCTCAGAGAGTGAAAACTGTCAAGGTATATGACGTTACATGTGACAACTGTAGGGAAGATAACTGGTGGAACAGCGAGGAGCGTGGACAGGACACTGGATGAAGACAACAGCAGCTGTCTGAGGACACCGGACAAAACCGGACAAAACCACCGGACAAAACCACCGGACAAAACCAGGTCAAAGTACTGGACCAAACGGTCCAATGTATCGACAGCTGGGGTGTCTCCATGACGACTGAGCAAACTCCATCCACTGAGGAAGACTCTGAGATGTAGTTGAAAGATGGTTAGTGGATCTGGTGAGATTTATTTTTGTTTGCGGCACACAAGGATCGCAGAGCACTGAGAAACAGGGGTGCAGCTTCTTGATCCACGGATTCATATATCTGTTCTGTGAGGTGAGACGAGGGACGGTCACTGAGGTCTGCAAACTTTTGGGGAAAACAAAAAACAAACAGGTTTGTTGTCCAGATCCGAAAACCAGCGTTCATAAAACTCACATCAAAAATCATCTGCGTAGAGTTGAGAAACCCACACTGACGACATGAAACACACAGCGGCCTCCGGTGTTAAAGTCACATCCATCTGTGGCCTTATTACATCACATCCTCCTGTCAGACAAGAGGTCCTTGTCAGGTAAACAAAAAAAAAACCAAAAAAACACAGACCACTTCTGAACAAACAATCAATGCTGCCTTTGTTTTTCAGCTGAGGGTTCGTTTTTTCAAAATGTCAAATTATCATGCGTTATGCAAAATAACCCTCCAACCGTCCGGCTACCCTGCGAACAAAAGCCCAAAGTCAAGTGTTCAGAGAGGTTAATGGAGCTGACATTCTGAGCGCTGCAGCTAATGGTACACCGCAGCACAGAGTAAGAGAGCTGAAGGTGTAAAGGTTAAGGACGTGTCAGCCAAATCAGAATACTCTTTTCTTTTTTTTTTATAACGAACAGATATAAACCCACAAATGTTTTAAACTTGCACGGCTGCCATTTTCCTCTGCCATTATTTGAACATGTTCAGTCTGTCCGTCTGGACTCCACACAAACAGGAGACCTCGTCAAACGTCTTATTATGTGCTGTACATCTGAAGAAGACCTCTCCAGAGCTTCACACTTCTTTCAGGCGCCCCCCCCTTGTGCAGATCAATATTCCATTCCTCTTGAAGAGGGAGTTTGTTTCAGACCATAATTTTACCCCCAAGTAGCAGAGACATTAACAGCTATTTCTTTGAATTGTAACTCCAGAAATATACGGCAGCCATAAAACAGACAGCAGTATGTTCCCCCCTGAGGCATCGCCTGTCTTTCCATCTCATGGGGTTGAATTAATAAGATGCTTTATAGGAAACATTCAATCAAACAAGTCTATTTTCAAAGTGATGATTTTATTCAATTTTCTTTAATTATTTGAAGCAACACGTCTGTGCTCCTGCAGAACACCAGGGTCTAGCACATGACCCAACACTCACTTCTTGTATTATTCAATGAATATATTCAGTGGCAGCAGCAAAGCAGGCTGAGCTGTGAGACAGCGGAAGAGACAAGGGACCAATCAGGAGCCTTTTCTACAGGGGACGTAAACAGCCTTGGAAAGACTTTTATCTATCCAACGCTCAACGCTCATCGCTCACTCTCAGTCCTCCAGTCGCAGAAAACCCAGAACGACTGTGTGTTGAAAGCTGCGAACAAGGATGAGAGGGAGGAAGAAGAAGCTGCGAGGCAAAACACCCATCGAGACTCAACATGTGTCGCCACAACATCGTCCCTCCACAGACACGTGACATGAACATCCACCGCTGGAATCAAACAATTAATAACTTATTAACGGCAAAAAAAAAATGGAAGATCTTTCAAGGCAAATTTCTCAAACCTGAGGTTGTGTGATAAGAACAAACAGCTAGAGAAGAATTCCCTTTGAGGCAGAGAGCTGGTGGGGACATGAATCAGGATTTCAGCGCGGTGGTTTTAAAGTACTTTGGAACGGTGTGATCTACATATGAAGTGCATAAAGAGCTGACAGCTCGGGCTGGCAAACAATAGGACTGGAAGGATAGGAGGGAAATCTCAAAGAGACTCTTTGGTCGTGGTTTTGAGTAAACAAACATGGATAATATTTTCATTCAAAGCCGGGCTGAGAAATTCACATTATGCATGTAATCCTTGTACATAAACAGTCCGCAGCGTGTGGAGGCATACACGAGCTTAAGGAGAATAATATGCGGCTCCTTGATTATGTGGCGGCGGAGATCGGTGTTACGTCAACAGGAGGGTGTAGGTGGTGTAATGGCATTGTGA